TGGTTAATAAGCAAAAATAAGTAAACTATAAATTACAGATCAGACAGTAAAAAGGACCTCAGGAAAGCCAGGCATGGTGGCACACACCTGTAACCCTAGCGCTCTAGGAGGCTGAGGCAGGAGGATTGCAAGTTTGAACCCAGTCTAGGCAACTTGGCAACTTAACAAGACCCTGTGTCACAATTTTAGGAAAAAAGTCTGAAAGGGCTGGGGATATAACTCAGTGTGAAGGCTATAGAGGAAATAAGGGTGGTCAAAAGGCTAAGGAGCATGAGACAAGAGACTACAGTTTTAAATAGGGTGGTCAAGGCAGGTCATGTTGAGAAGATGACATCCGAGCAAGGACTTGAAGGAGGAGATGGAGTGGGCTGAGCTGATAAGTAAGGAAGAGTGACCTAGGTGAAAGGCATGCAGTGGTGCTAGGGCAGGCATACAAGGCAGCTGGTATGGCCAAAGCAAAATGAGCAAAAGGGAAAGGAAATAGCGAGAGCCCATGATCCTGCTTGGCTCAGACCAGAGGGCTAACCGCGGAGGCAGTGAAAAAGCAGTTAGATTCCAAATATATCTCGTAGGTTGTGTTGACATGATCTCCTAATATAACTTCAGAGATGTACAAGAACATCATTTGATTTAGCATCTTGTTATAGGGGTGCTCCCACGCAGAGGTTATGGTAAAGTTTTCATGATGACCTATTTCCTATGGCTAATAATTTAACACTTTACTTGGTTTCTTTTGCTAATATTTTTTGCCAGTAAAACTGCCTACAAGCTTTCTTTGCATTCAGATGTATATACAGTGACTTGTCTGTATATAGATTTACTTTGTAGATTCTGGTTTCTGCAGTTAAATTTTTGTCTGAGTTTGCTTCTCTTATATTTGCTAAAGAAAATAGAAGCCAGGTATGGTGGCACATGCCTGTAATCCTAGCACTCTGGGAGGCTGAGGCAGGAGGATCACAAGTTTGAACCCAACCTGGGCAACTTAGCGAAACCCTATTTCAAAGTAAAAAAGATAAAAAGGTGTAGTAGAGATGAAGCTCATTGTGAAGCCTCTGGGTCTGTTTCAAAGTAAAAAAGTAAAAAGAGTAGAGATGTAGTTTGGTGTTGAAGGGTGTGGGTATGAATAATACTTAGCACAAAAAGGAAGGAAGATAGAGCATGGTAGTACTGTACTTTACTTCTCTTAGAAATATGTAGGTTATTTATCTGTTTTATCTAGCTAAGAATATTTTCATATTCCCTTACATACACACACACTCCTTACCACAAGATCCAAAAGCACTAGATTTCCCAAAGGTCCTGCCATTATATTGATTAAAGGTACTATTTTCCTCACTAAATGGACATTTCTTTTTGAAATCATCACAAATGAGTCTAAAAAGGATTATGTAATTACATTTGAGTATACTATGTCATGTGAACTGTAGTAAGCAGTTTCACATAAAATTGCCTAAAAACAGTTGTGTAATTCTTGGAAATTCAAGACTATGTATTATAATACATGCTTTCACAAAATAGCCATAGTACTATCTGGGGCCAGACAGTTTATGTGGGAGGCTGTCCTTGGTATTGTGGCATGGTTAACAGCATCCCAACCTCCTCCCACTAGAGGCCAATAGCATCTTCCCCCAGTTGTGACAACCAAAAATGTCCCCAGACATTGCCAGGTGTACCCTGGGGCACAAAAATGGCTTCCAATTAAGACTCACTGTTGTTATATAATGTTATATTTCTTATGCTTTGCCTCCCTATAGGTATTAATTAAGGTATGCATACAAATCTCTGTCTCTCTTTCTGTCTTTCTCTCTCTCTCCCCCGCTCTCTCTTCCTCTCTCTCTCCATCTTTGTCACCCCTTTAACTATTATTTTTCCTGTGAAAGGAGATGAAAACTTCCATTAATGTCTCAATGATCTTTCTCTTCCTCTCACCCCTAAGTTAAAAGTACTCAGGAGAGAAATAGCACAGTTGTCACAGTAAATGAAACTCATGGCTCCTGGCCTACTTCGCTGGTTCTGCTAAGCTAGAGAGCTGGTGGAATCCTCTGGGCTCTCCTGACTCCTGTGGACAGCTTCTCAAGGCGTCATCTGGGTGTGCGGAGACTCAGCGTTCCTTAGGCCTTTCTGTCACTCTGACCCACTCAGGCACAATTTGAGTAACTGAAGTTGAAGGGGAGCAGCTCCTCTGGGAATACAGACTGCCTGTTACACACACAGTCACTTTCTATTCTGAATGAGGCCTGAGCCCAGGAGGATGGGGTGCTCAGTTTTGAGTTCTCAGAACTGTGCAAACCCCAGTTGCACATAGACTCAGCTGGAGGCCTCCAGCCCAAGTGTTTCTGAGTGTGCTTCCTTTAAATGGTTTTCCTCCCAACCTGTGTCAACACGCCTCGCTGCTCTCTGGTCTCCTTCTGGTCTCAGTTCTCCTTTCACATGCTGAGGGCTCGGTTTTATTATAAATGTATGTTCACGTAACACTGGTTGCCATGGCAGTGTGGATTTCTTAAAGTATTCCTTCCTCTTGCTTTCCATCCGTGATGGTTTTTTTTTTACTTGTGTTACCACAAGTCTCAAAAATCTCTCATTTTGTACAAAAAATATTAAATTCTCACAGACTTATTTTCTTCTTTATTATAAGAAGCTAGTCTTCCGGCATGACTTTTGTAAGGCTGTTGAACATAATGTGCATGTTTAGTTTGTAGTGTGTTAATAATTGTACTTAGAAAAATCTCATGATTATAAGATCATCATCAATTTAATTTGTATTTCTTACTGTTATACTTCTCTTCTCCCAAAACACTCATTTAAAAAAAGGACCTCCCTGATATATTTTTAAAAACAAGAGTGGCCGGGAGTAGTGGTGCACACTTGAAGTCTCCGTAGTTGGGAGGCTGAGGTGGAAGGACTGCCTTGAGTACAAGGCCAGCCTGAACTACTTGGCAAGACCCAGTCTCAAAAAACAACAACAAAAAAAGAGTGAATCTGACCCCTCTCATTGCTCCTCACATTTTGATCTGGGCTGGTACATACCATTTAACCAAAGATGTTTTTCTGTCAGGTGTAAAACCTTTCTTGTAGTAACTCTTTCCAGTGATATCAATTCCACTGAAATTGGGGGGCCATCAGAGGAAGATCACCTCATGACTAAAATGCTTAGCAATTCCAGCATCTCTTTGTGTTCCTCGGGTGGTTTGCCAGCAGGCTCTGCTTTCACTTGTCTTCACATATTTGCCCATAACAGCTCCCACCCTGGCAGACTGCAAGACCAAAGATAGGCCAGAAGTCCTCACCAAATCAAAACCAGATGGGCCATGTTCTCCTCCTACCCAGGGAGGACAGACTCAGCTCCAGGTTGAGTGATTTGTCTTGATTTTTGTTTGTCCAGTCTTAATGGTTTGGTTTCCTGATTAATAGTTTAAAAACTGCCTTAATGACAATGCATATGTAGAAGGAATAAAAGAGGAAGTAAACAGTGTGTCATGCTTATTTTCCTAGGTTAAAATGTCATCCTATTGGCCTATAAGTCAAAATTTCAGATTTCTGAAATCCCAAAGTTCTGTTTAACTCACACAGAAACATTAAAAATACCATTTTTCTAAGATTGAAATGCTAAAAGTAAGAATTTAGAAAGTGATATTTTATGTACAATTTTCACTATGACATTAAATAGCCAATTCTTCAATTGCATAAACAATTCAGCCTGGTTTATAATCAACTGTTTAGGAAAGCATCTGTGGTGTAAAGGTGAAGGTGAATGTGATGATAATGACCTCAGTACCTAGTTCAATACAGGAGATTTAAATGGGAGTCTTCTGACACAATGCGTAACTTGAAATTACACGTACCTCTCTTCCTGCCTTTTTCAATGCAGGAAATACTTTGGTAACATCTTTTACTTTTTATTTAAAGTAGTGGGCAGAGGTATAAAGTGATTTTTTAAATATTGATTTTTAGAGATTATATGCTTTTTTAAAATCATAAGTGCAGTGAGATTTAATATAGTATAGTTTATGTTAAAGGAAAATTACTGATAATCTCAGTTCCTCTTAGTCTGATGAGTTTTGGTTTTAAAACTCATGTAAGAATAAAAACTACTGTAACTATGAAGGAATCTGGGCATCTCAGGAATTCTCCTGAGGGACTTCAAGTTGTTCTGTGATTGCAGGTCTGGAAAGTCACTGAATTGGATGCCTCCATTTACAATCAGGACACAGGGAGGTCGCCTAGAGTTCCCAGGTCTCCTTAGTCTCTACAAATTACTGAGCCAGGAATCCGATTGCTAGTATAAAAGAAAGAATAGATTACACTGTAAGTACTAGAAGCCAGAATGTATTTAGACTTTTCTCTCTTAAGCATCAAAAAGAAAAAAGACAAATATTTACTGGTTTTGCTCTACAGGTTTTTAATGAAAATTAAACAAATGTGTCAGAGCAAACTCTAATGACTTTGAATACACAGCTCTAGGGGATCTGTACAGTGAATTGCTATTACAGGTGTTTCTCATTCAGGAACAAAACACACTATGAGATGAAAGGCTCATGTGAACTTACTTTAAACTTCCTTCTGAACACTAAAGGAATTTTCATATGGAGAAAAAAACAAGTCTTTAAGCATTTTCTCATGAATTGGCAAGGTACAGTTAATGATTGTTTTTAATCACCTGTTTTTGTTTGGTTCTTATCTAACAGAATTCAAGTACCATATAGGTAGAAATAGAAAATATCTTATAGCTCCAAAGGTGCTTCTGATCTTGGGAAAACAACACGTTTTTATTTTTTTAATTATAATGTATGCAATGCACAATGTAGTCACTGTCATTTGTCTTATAAACAAGATTACATGGAAGAAAGAAATGACCACTAAGAAATGCTTGCCTCTTAAATATTTACTTAGCTACTGGAGACAATCAGGATGACTTACTTAACTATGCACTTGAGTTTTTCATCAGTAAGTAAATTGTGGTTGTCATGATTAAAACAAGACATGTAAAACATATAAGCACAGTGCCTGGCACATAAGTGCTTACTAAGTGACACTATGATACTGTTACAATGCTTTATCATTCATTTATTTCACAAAAATTAATAGAACATTTCTACTTGCCAGGTATTATCATTAATAACATTATTTATATTGGATACAAAAGCAAATAAAATGTGATAAAGATGGACATATAATGATATTATATCACCTTTTTGTCAAAGCCTAATTAAAATTCTAAGCATACCTATAATAACATTTACTTAATAATTATCAGAATCAATGAATATTGCCTGTCCCAGTAACATGAACCAGATAATAATAAATAAATAATATGTTATTAAATCTTGTATTTTTATACTGTATTATTCATACATTTAGATACATTTAGATAAGACTTAAATGAGAATATTTCTTATTCATTTTTTCTTGTGCTCATTTTTAAAGTTTATCAAAGTTACCAACAGAACATACTAACTACAGATGGACCTTTGTATTCTACTAGAAAGCAGACAAACCATAAGCCATTTGCCTCTTCATCCTACAGTTGGAAAATACTATGTTCTGAACAGAAGATCCACAGAAGAATTTAAAAAGGAAATGGTTGGTTTATTTCATGTGCGTGAGATCCTTCCAGTACGCTTGACTTCTGCCTCTGAAAATTGTTGCCATCTCCACTTTCAGTACAAAGAAATATTAATTGAGTTCTGTGAATATATACATATACATATATATATATATTATAAAGCCAAAGTGGTTTTCTTGGTGCCTGTTGTCAACCAAGATATGGCATGTAAATTATTTACTTTAATGTCCCTAATAGTCACACGAACATTTTTCTATTCTGTGGTGTTTTTCCATCCAGAAGTCAACCATATGGTTGTATATGTGGTGAATTAGGTTTTGTAAAAAGATTATATAGTGTCTTCTTGAATGTTTTGTCTAAGAAAAGAAATATGATGGGGTCCGTGCTACTTCTGGCTGAAGCAAGACAGGTGAGGATATTTTTTGTTTCTATTAAATAATTCAACTGCAGACAGTCCTTACTTTGGTGCAGAACATAAAAAATAGGTTTAAAAATACTATATGGAAGAAAGCAAACTACCAGTAAAATCTGGATGACCAAAAGATGTCTTCGCACAGAATTATAAGTCAAGTCTTTCTCCATAATGGATGTACAGGCCCTTACTTTTCTCAGATGGCTGACAAAAGAGTAGTACGAGGTTAGTACTACTAAAAATGCAAATCCAATGAATGTGGTTCCAATGAGACCTGCAGTCTGAGAGATCATGGCTCCCAGTTCCATCTTCTGATTGTAGCACTGGCTCTCTCCTCCTTCTGTAGCCTCTACAACTGAGTAGTATATGATAATGGGAATAATTACGCCCAGTACAACTCCCCATATGTAAATACACAGTTTTCGAGCGAAGTTGGGCTGGCGAAATTTTTTTAGTAAGCGGCCATAAAATATTTTCTCATAGCATGAAGTGGTCTCTTGGGTGGAATCCTTTTTTATTAAAGTAGCATAGCGGCTTACGGCAATCCAACATAAAATTAAGAGGCTGACAAACATACTTACATGCATGGATAAAGTTCCCAGAAAATTGACCACTCTGCATTGTGCAGATTGATATTCCCATTGGAAACCTTTCAGGAAATAGATACCCATAAAGGGCATGGCACTGCACACAAGTAAGTTTGCAGTCACAAGATGTGCCAGGTAGATGTGTGTTGATGTTTTCTTACCTATTTTTGTCAGAAATACCCACTGAGAGAGTGAATTTCCAAAGAGACCAACAAGACAAAGAATGGTATAAGTGATTGGTAAAGCTCTGGAAGTGATCACGGATGGTTGAATACATGTTGAGTTGTTACTCATTTATATCAGATCTTCTTGAATTTTGTCACAGGACCTAGAACAGAATTGCATATATTTAATATTAACACTGTAGGTGGTATTTAAGCTAAATAGTAAAAAAAAAAGCATTGGATGAAGTAAAATAATATCAAAATGTATTGAATGGAAAGGGAAAGTATAGATGATTTCTTACCTTTTCTAATCACAATGTCCAGTTGTGATAAAGTAGATAATGTGCTTATTGCAATAGATAATGCCTTTGTCTAAAAAAGAAAAATTGAAGCAAGTAGTTAAATTTCTGGGGTTTATCATTTTATGTGAGAGTAATTTATATCTTATAAAGTAATGTGTGATGACAGAGATTGTCTAGAAATGTAATTTTTAAAATGTAAAGCATATATGAACAGTATGTACTGATCAAAGAAAAGTGTTACAAAAATATTACTCTTTAAAAGAATAAAGTATTTTGTGGCCACATTAGAGGGCTAAAACTTTTTAATTAGCACACTGCTTATTTGTAAGTAGTTTTAAAACTGGTGGCTTTTTGTGGCTAGGTTAAAATTAATCTAATACAGAACTATTAGAAGAGTCCCTTTTCATAGCTCAAAAATAAACTTAATTCCAGCTGAACAAAATCTCAGGCAAGGGCCTGAATTGAACAGAAGGAAAGCATAGAGACCAAGGATAGACTGAAACCTCAGATCTAATGGCATCCAAAGGCATCAGTAATTATTATTTTCAAATAAATATTGCTAAACTGTCCACATCAAAAAAATTAAAATTGTGGGGTCATGCATGGTGACACATTCCTGTAATCCCAGCACTTAGGGAGGCTGAGGCAGGAGGATCATCCCAAGTTTGAAGCTAGCCTGGACTACATAGTGAGTTCAAGGACAACCTGATCTATTACAGGGCAAGACTCTGTCTCAAAAAAAACAAAAAAAGAGGGAGAGTGCTGGGGATATAGTTCAGTGAGAAGGCACTAGATTTTAATCTCTAGTACTGGGGGTGGAGGTTGAAATTGTACTTGAAAAGTCTAGTTGCTGTGCTTGTTGAGGAGAGCTGCCTCATGTGTCCTCATATGTAGTTTAGTGCTATGTGGGTTTTTCCGATTTTTTTTTTCCTCCAAAGTATTAGAGACTGAACTCAGGGCCTTCGCACTGAGCTACATCTCCAACTCTTTTTTTTTTTTAAACAGTCTTGCTAAATTGCCCCAGTTGGACATGAACTTGCATTCCTCTTACCTCAGTCTCCCAGAGTGCTGGAATTACTGCTGTGTACCACCATGCCCATTTCAGAGGATTCGTTTCTGTAGAGATATGGTGTTTTAATCACAGTATAAATGCAAGTGTAATTTTTGTCTTTTATGTCTTCTTTATAATCATTCTTGTTGCAAAGGGTATGCAGATATGCCAAAGAATCACATACAATTTCCCTTTTATTTTTCCTCTTTATTTCCTTATTTTTTAAGTGAGAATGACAAAGAAAAGTTACTACATTCTAGTCAAATAAGAACCGGGATCTGTATTCCAATGAGCTCTTCACCATAACTCTCGGGGTACCATGTCTGCCACTATTTTATGATCTATAGCAGGATTTCTCAGTTTGTAAATCACATTCTCTGTTTTGATAAACATGAAAATCTTACCATACACAGATTTCTGATCTGTCTCCAGCCTTTCGGGTCTATTTTACTCTCTATACCTCTTCAGAATCATAGTTTCATCTATTTTCCATATCCTGGATTACTTTTGAATTTTATTTCAAATTTTATAGACATCAGGATTTTTTTCCAAATGTAATATTATAACTTTGAAATTAGTTTTTAAATAAAACAATCCATACCCAAAAACTTAAAAACTTAGGGGCTATGCAGTACCTCTGTGTACAAAGGTTAGACCCTTAATTGACGGCTAACACTGACCTCATGCAGGAGCTGTGTTGACAACTAGTTCACCGTCTGTAGCCCCCCAAATTTATATATGCTGTACCTCTCCTTTAGAAATAAATTTTACTTCTAAAGCTACTAGATGATTGTTTTCTAAAATTTGGGAAATATCATTAAACTTAAGAAATCAAATCAAAATGACATGTTACATATACAAAATTACTTTCTAGAAAACATCTCCAAGCCTGCATTCCCTTCAGGAGAATGTCTCTCTCAAGTCACTAGTGTACACATTTCATCTCTGTTAATTTGACAAATGAGTAAGTGCCACAACTCCAACAATTACTAATGATCATCTACATAGTTATATCCTTTCTTAATGATAAGTTTTCAAACTTTAAAGTTTAGTCCTATTAGAGTTTTAATAGAATTAGTAAGTTAAAAATGAATGATCACCCTTACCTGTATGCCAATTAAGGTTATATAGTTCAAAGTAGTGATGCAAATTTCAGACTTAAAATTCTCGGATCTTCACTCTTCCAGTATCCTTAGTCATTGTAAATCTTTGTATGATGCTGGCTACAGTGGGGGTAAAGGAAACTAAATAGAGTATTGAAGAAATCCAATAGTTATGGCTAATGTAACTATCTCCTCAAAAAAAAACCTCATTTCTCTATTTCAGTAGTGAGAGGAAGTTTGTGGACAATATATACATATATTGTACTTCCTTATTATTATTTCATGAACTAGTTACACCCCATTTAGCTTTATTACCATGATTGGCTGAAGTTTAAAGGTTTAATCCCCCATAAGCTAGTTTTATATGACATCATGATAGAGGGAACCATACTACAGTGAGCCAATAAAATACTGATACAAACTTGTCTGTAAACTTATCTATAAAATCATAATGTAGGTGACTTATTTGCAATTCATCTTTATCAAGAATAGAGGGAGATGAAGCTCAAAGCTTTCTTCCAGTAGCATACTAGAATTAACTACTCACAGAGCTGCACTACAACTTCATGATCATCTGCAGGTTGAGATCCTTTGTTTTAAGGCCCAGAGAAGCCCCCATAAGCACAGACCACGGTGGTTTGGGTCCCAGTTTTGTCACTAACGAACTAACTCACTCTTCTAACTGCCCTGTGCTGCCTCCATTCAGATTCAGCATGGTACACTGGAACATTTTGGTAATAGATTTGGAAAATCCTGGAAAGTGGCAAATATTGCCTCAGATCAAATGAAGGTATAACATAATGATCTGTGAAACCAATTTTATGATTAAGATTATTTAGTCAATCTGTGAACTACTAACTAAATGAAAGCTAAATGTGCACAGCTGGGGAGCCAGACAGCCTCAAGCACCCTTCCTTGGGTAGTTAAGCCAGAGGAATCTGAAAAAGAGAACAGAAATCTAATTTCATGAAGCCTGAGCACTTCAGTTATCAGTAAATCTGCATTTATAATTAATAGAAGTAGTTGCTATTTCTCATAACTCCCAACGCTTATCATATTTCCTATTGAATGCAGATTCTATCTGATGTTTGCTAGTGTTTTTCTCTAAAACCAAAATGAGAACTCCATATGGAGAATATTGTTCTGCTGCATCTTTGCAATATTTACCATCATCTAATTAAGAACAGTGACTCATCCAGGGTTACATGGCAATTGATTGTAAAGTAATTTGGCCTCTAGAATTCCTGTCATTTTTAGCTCAACAATTTTTCATGTCCCAGGGAGGAATTACTTAGAACAAAAAACAGTTTGGTGCTGGAGGTGTAACTCAGTGGTAGAGCATTTGCCTGGCATGCGTGAACCCTGGCTTAGAACCCCAGCACTGTAAAACAAACAGTTTGAGGTAATTTAGAGAAGGAAGAATGGAAATAGAATCCTGTTTACAAGTTATTGAAAGATGGTTATACTATTATCTGTTGGGGTTTAAGCACCTTTGGTCCAAAAACAGGATTTCCCTGCTTTCCTCCATTGTCCCCAAGTCAGTAAATAATACGCACTGTCACTCCTTCAGTTACTCATGCCAAAAACTTAGAGCTCGCCCTTGATTCCTCTTTCCCTCACATCTCACATCCACTCAGCTATGGCTGCTACAGCTTCTCCTACCACTACCATTATCCAGCCATATTTCATGAGCGTGTCATAGGTGCCAGACTTCCTGCTGTTTGCTTTATGTGCAAGTCTTAGTCCTCACAATGCCCTGAAAAATATCTTCATTTCAAAACCGAAGCTCAGAAAGTTTGTAGAAGTTTCCCAAGGTCACATAGTCATCTGTCCTCTCAGCATTGGTGACTAGTTTCCATCAGAGCAAGTCATTCAAGAGAGCAAGCCCACAGATGCCATGCCTTTATTTTGTCTGTTTCTGAAGTCCACATTGTCACTTACATCGTATTTTGTTGGTCACACAGAGCTAGCCCTGGTTGTGTGAGGATTAAATATCAGGAAATGGTGATCACTGGGAGCTGTTTTAGAAACCAGCTACCACAGTTGTTAAGCAATCATTGAACCAAAGAGTCAGAACCACTGTCAGACTATTTAAGAGACAAGAATGACTGGATTGGCTTAAGTTTTGCCAGTTCATAAACTGTTCTGACTTTTGTACTCTGTAGTTTTCTTAAACAGTGCAGTTCACTCAACAAATGTTTACTGGAGTTTATACTGTGTCTCCAGTGGCATGTGGAGGTCATAGAAGTACTATGTTAGCCATGGACTAATTTAAAGCTTCTGGAAATTCAAGAGAGATTCCAAGAATTTACATTAGTATGTGATGTGTGATACAGTCTTCAAGTGCTCTGTGAATTAGAAAAGGGAGAAAACAGTCAATCCAAGTGGCTCCGAAAGGCTCTGTGAAAGCGACTGGAGGGAAAGAGAAGAGAATGCATAGTGAGCAATAATTCTGTGCCAAGTTTTTTACATATAAGAACCCTGGAAGGGACTGGCAGAAAGTGAAGCTTAAAGAAGTTAAGTATCATGCTCAAGGAGGCACAACTGGTAGATTATATTTGAAGCAACCTCTTTATCTGCTGTAAAAGGCAAAGATTATTGGTTTTTTTGCAGATCAATAAGGGCACCTTATGGTACTCATGAGAAATAAACCGGGGTCCAGCCTTGAGTACTTTTAACTTCAGGCAAGGTTTCTTATTGTCAGTTCTAAGGGAGCAGAAATTAACTGTAGCAGAAATCAAGGTTAACTTTTTTTTTTCTCTTTGTAAACTCTGGGCTTCATTAAGCTAATTTTTCTTCCCGAAACATCAGCATAAATTCTTGGTGATTGAGTTTTCTAATTGAAGTATAAAATATTCTATTTATATTTTTTCTTTTAACAATGGAGAAATATTGTAGAAACTGGTAGAAAAGAAGTGTCAGAAAATATAGACTAACAAAAGTATTACTTGCTAGGAAAACATTTCAGGAATAACAAAATATGTTGCAAGTTCTCTGTCCAAAGTAGCCCCTCTGGACTTCTTACTCAGGTCACCAAAAGTTTTCTTTGGTTAATCGTTTTCTTCATCCTTCTCTTCAAAGTTCCACTTCTGTTATCCAAGTTCAAATGCTCTTGCTTAACAGTTCAAATTACTTCCTATATCACCTGTCAGTCACTCATCTCCTAAGTGTCCTACCCTGACCTTTACCATCTCCCTCCTTGAAGGGTTAGTTTCCTACAATTCAAATCCTGTCTTGTACTAAGTTTCCTTGAAACTTGTGTGAGTATCAGGTACATTTTTTTTTATTTGACCCCAGAATTCCACTGGAATTGTTCAAGGGTAGTGGTCCAAAGAGAAAGCGTGTGGTCATTGGTTTAAGCACTTCATGGTGGGCTGTATATAGCCGGAATATATGGGGGCTTTCTTGACTTACCTGAATTCTTGGGGTTAGAATTAGGCTCATCAATTTCTCTCGGAGGGGACTTGGGATTTAGCTCAGCGGCAAAAGCGCTTGCCTGGCAAGCGCAAGGTCGTGAGTTTGGTTCCCGGTACCGGAGAAAAACCAAAAAACCAAAAAAAAAAAAAAAAAATTTCTCTCGGAGCTAGGAACCAGCAGATTCAGGACAGGTTAGTCATACCTGAACTTTTGTGCTTCAATTAGAAAGTTATTTTAGGCTATCCAAGCTAGTGTCTAAACTGGGTGTGATTGGCCCTTTAAGTATTCTCTCTGACTAGTCAGGAGCTCAGGACATTGGTGCAGAAAGAGAAGACAAACCTAATTTTATCCACATTAGAACATCACCTTCTAAAGATAACGATTTCTCGAAAAGGGAGGCATTGGTAATCCTCATCCAATTCAGTGCACACCCAAGCCCACAGTTACCTTTAGGAGGGGTGAGGCACAGCTTGCTTACTCAAAGCTGTGGTTTGTTCAAGGCTCACTTAGCCCCCTGATCTCTTCAGGATGTGGTGTCTGGCCGCAGCCCTGTTTCCAGTTGCACTGCTCTCAGGCCCTTGCCTCCTGCTATAAGCAGCTCTAGTCACACCTTTAGCAGGGTGCTTAAAAGGACCTCTCCTTGCTTGTAAGAGCTGATGTCTCAGTAAACAGTGGGAGCTTTTATCTCGAGAACTACTAAAAAACAGCCAAGAGTACAGTCCAAGATTTGCACATCTATAATAGCACAGCAAAAGTACGTGTTAGTGTTGTAAGAAACATGAATGACAAAACCTAAGTGGTTCCAGTGATCCAAGCTTCACTGTTCTTCAACTTTAGCTTTTGTCTCTTCGTATAGGCCTGAGTGCCCTGGTAAGAGGTCATCTTGTACCAGTACACGGAAACACTGTAGCAGTGGCAGTGGCGGTCACAAGGGTTAGGATCGCCTCAGGTAGCACTTGGAAAGCAGCTGAGAATCAGGGTTACAGAAGGGGAAAAAATTAAATGATGGATTAGGCAAGGCAATAATGTCTTTAAGGACAATCAGATTTTTGAACATCAGCATCTTTGAATCAGCCAAATTTAGTTCACGCTAGAACCAGCCATTCCTTTTTGAGTTTTTTGCAAAACCAAAAGTAAAGATTTCTGAAAATGAAGCACTTGATAGGGTTCTAAAAATAATTTGATCTACTGTGTTGCTGCTCATACAAAATACACAGACACACACACACACACAGACGATCTAAGAAACAGCAACTTGCATTACAATGAGATTGACTGAGGTAATTAGAAAGGCACAACATATCACTGTCCAGAATTCTCACCAACTACAATCCACTGACTCTCTCCAGGACCAAGGTTTCCTGGCTATTTTATTACCAATCACTTTTTTGAACTTGTACATGAAATCATCTTAAGGTTAAGTCCTTGCTCCATGTCACTTGCTGTCCTTAGTAAGTGAAGGGCAAAAAAGAAGGCGGGATGTCAAGGGAAGATGGGGAAGAATTGAGTATCTGAGGGCTTCCCTCCCATACCTGTTAGTGTCTGCATTTAGTTTCTCATATACAGAGCCTAAGTATTGAAGTAACAAGTTTTCCTGAGAACCACTCTTAGAAAGTAATAAATAACAGCCATTGAACTGCTTTTATATGTTTTAATTCATATGTTTTTAAAATATCTAATAGAGCTGCTATTATTACCTTCATTTTCTTCATGATAGATTTATGTTCATAGAGGATAAAGAACTTGTCTGTGATAATACAACTGGCATACTGCAAGGCCTAGGTTCAACCCTTTCGGAGCCCACATTCTTAGCTGTAAGACATTGTCTTTAGCATTCAGCCCTTTCAGGGCCCACATTCTCAGCTGCTACTTTATGTTGACTCCCATCGTACATGAGAAGGCTCAAACAATCTGATGTATTCCTTTGGGTAAGATAACCAACTATCCCACCCTGACCAAAACTACATCTCACTATGTACTGTTTCAAGATTTCCGTTTGAGAATTTATTAACTCCTGCCAAGTCTCTACCACAGAAATACTCTTCTCCGTTTGTAGTCAGTAAGTAATCTCAGGGCCATATTTTGAGCTTTTATGAATATATTGTTTCCCCTTCACACAATAGATTTCCACATTCATTGATTAAATCAGCAGTTTCATTGGCAGTTGCATCTTGGTAATCTTTTGGTGACTGGAGATAGGTTAGACTTAGAGTGGTCATTTTAAAGCATCACTCTAAACAAGTCTTCTGTTTTATATATTTCTAAATAGCTTTGTAAGTAACATGGCATAGTTTCTAATAATTTCATGTTGCCTCATCTTCCTTTTCCTCCAATGAAAAGCAACCTCAAATATCTGGCTTTAA